TACAGAAGCAAAGCCCAAACCACACCCACTGCCTGGAGTCCATTCTGACCCACAGCGCCCCTAGAGGACAGAGTGGAACTGCCCCACAGGGTTCCCAAGGCTGTCAGTCTTCACAGAAGCAAAGCCCAAACCACACCCACTGCCACTGAGTAGATTCCGACTGACAGCACACCTAGTGGGCAGAGTATAACTGTTTCATAGAATTTCCAAGGCTGTCACCTTTACGGAAGCAGACTGCCACATCTTTCTCCTGTGGAGCAGCTGGTGGGTTTGAACTGCCATCCTTTTGATTAGCAGGCAAATACTTTAACCACTGTGTCACCAGAGCTCCTTAGAGAACTGGATGATGAAGGAAATCGTTGGCCACAATGGGTAGCCTGGGGTGTGTATGTATATGTACATGTGTGTGCGTGTGTGTATGTAAGTATGGCCGTGTCAGTGTTGTCCCCCTGCCCCCGGATTTTAGGCTGTGACTGTGTTTTGTTGCAGAGCAATGATAACGAGGAGCGACTGCAGGTCGTGAAACTCCTGGCCAAAATGTTTGGGGCAAAGGATTCAGAGCTGGCTTCTCAAAACAAACCGTTGTGGCAGTGTTACCTGGGCAGGTGAGTGCTTTTTGGTTTCCTATTTAAAAGTCATGTGTGTTTGCTTCTACTCATATTACTGTTGACATACATACTCACTGACACTATATTCTTTGTAGGTATAAAATGAAGGTGCTGTCTCATTGTTGGGACTCTGAATGCTGACAGTGATTGGTCATGTCGCCAGTGGCCCTTTGTCTTTTCATCTTCTTTTGTCCTCAGGCATTTGCAAAAGGGAAGACATCGCCCAGCTGTCTCATTTAGCATTACAGCCATGCGATGACAGTGTGTGATTGGGGAGCACTGATTAAATCACCTGCCAGTAGGTCATTCCAAGTTGTAGCCCTTTCACCAAACGTTATTCTTCATCGATTTTTTGGGGGGCTACTGTAAAGGATAAGGTACTGCAAAAAGGGCAGGGAGGCCACATGTTCTGACCTCCTCTAATCCCACAAGAGGAAGACAGGATCACCAGCAGTAACCCAAGGCCTATTCCTGCCAGGCCAGACATGCTGCCTCCCTCCAGCCCTTGCTCCAACCGTTCCTCCCAAAGCACCCACCACCTCTCTCCTGGGTTCGATAATTCGCTGCAGTGGCCACACAGAGCTCACAGATGAGGTTTATTAAGGAAGCACCAAGCTACAATTTGAGTTCAGGAAAAATGCTCAGTCTCTCTCCCAGCCCACTGTCGCTCAGCCAATAGTCTCTCACAGTCTCTTTCCCAGCAGTGCTGGTCCCTCGGTGTGTCACTCAGCAATGCGTGTCTCTTGCGTCTCTTTCCCAGCAGCATGTGTCTCTTTCCGGGGTGCATGTCTCTTTCAGCAGCACATCTTCCTCAACCAGCAGTCAGAGAGTTCTGCCTCTAGGAGGCCTCCTTTTGAGCCTGGCAGGGTGGTCAAACTAGCCAATCACAGCATCAGAACTCTAAGCCCGTGAGAGAGAGTGGGCACCCCCCCCAGAACATTGTTTTGTGCCACTCCCGACAGAAATACTCCAGGTGGACAACTTCAGAAATCAGGAGCTCCTCAGTTGCTTATAGAAAATCCCACCTTGGAGTTTATAAAGACTTAGGGTAGAAAAGCCACACTAAGTAATTTACTACACCACAGGTACCCAGACAATGAGGGACCAATGACTGCACGCTTCTCACCTCTCTGTGTGTCTCCGTGTTGAAGAAGTGGCCGCCTGGTCCTCGGATGGTTCCATGAGCCAAAGCCCCCCTGGAATGACTTGCGGAACTTTGAGTGTGTTTGTGAGGTCGCTTTCTGTGAGAGGCATCCCTTCCTTCAGGTTTCCAAAGGGGTCCCTGAGGGGGGATAGTGAAGCCCTATAGGTGTCCCGGCCGGTGCCTGCTTTGACCCTGCAGATAAAGGAGGATTCCCCTGCACATTAGCCTCATAACGAGTCACGTAATTAAATCATAAGATAAACACACAGGAACGGGGATGAAAGCCTTGTTCCATCTGCTTTGTGTTGGAACGTTTGGGCCAGTGTCCCTGCTCTGTTTCCTTCTCACTAGAAGGGCCGCCAGCGCGGGAGGGAGTTCAGTCTCGTTTGGCCTTGTTTTTCCCGTTGGTCGAGGACAGGAGCTTTTGCCAATGATTGTCAAGTTCTAGTTTCTTAGTGGGACTTTCTAGTTCTTCCTCTGCTCAATGACAGCATTTAATGAGGTGTGTAAGCTCATAACCACTAGCCCACGGTCATGTTGAATTAGATTTGTAGACTTCTCCTCCTTGAATACAGTGGAGAATTTATGGGCAAAATATTTTGTAGGCTCAAATGGTGCGACTTAATTTAATGTCCATGTTACTTACCAAGAAAATATTTCCAATATATAATGATGTTTTTAAATTAGGACTTGGTTTAGCTAGTCTTTATCTTGTCTGACAGGATTTTAGGGCAAAACATCCTAATGTACTTCATATCAGATGCGGAAATTAACTAAACTGTATTGAGAACCCAGACGTGGGGGCTAAGGCTATGTGCCGTTAGAAGGCTACGCGGGAGCAACCTGAGGGCCCTGCAGCAGGCATTGGAGTCGTAGACAGGACGCCGACAGCCTGAGCGGCAGAGGAAGGAACGGGTCTTTGGCCTCATCAGTGTCCGGAACCTGTGCACTGAAGGGCTGCGTCAGGAAGTGAGTAGACGGCCTGTGGAATGGGAGGAAGTGTGTGGGGAACGCGCCTCTGAGGACCTGCTCCTGACCCCTGGCAGAGGGGAGCCACGCTCCGTAGCGTGCGCGTGGCCGTCGTCTTCCGGGCGGACTTTGCCGGTCCTTCCTTCTGCAGAGCTGCGGGGGAGGTTGGAATCCCCAGCCTTCGGTTGGCAGCCAGTCGCAAGCCACTTGCAGCAGCCGGGCTGTTCATAGATTGATAAAGGTTTAATGTCCAGAACACGTGAAGAACTACAGCTCGGAAGAATAAGACAAACAGCCCAATCAAACAATGGACAAAGGACCAATAGACATTTTTTCCAAGACGATAAACAGCCAAGAAGCTCCTGAAAAGATGGTCAGCGTTGCCAGTCCTTAGGGACGTGCCAGTGGGCACCTCGGTGGGATTCCACTTCCGCACCCACTGGGTGACTGTTCCCCGCAGAAGGCTGGGGAGAAGGGTAGCCTCACCCACGTGGGGACATGAAACAGCCCAGCCGCTTGGGAACCGTTTGGCCGTTCCTGCAAAGCTGAACATGGGATTCCGATGCGACCCAGCCCTCTCGCTTGTGGCTGCGTAGCCAGAAGAGACTCGTATAGCACCGTTCCCAGCAGCTTTATTCCAACATCCAATGTCCGGCCACAGCTGGAGAAACCTAAGGTCGTCTGTCCAGACCAGGGGATGTTATTCCTCCCAGAAAGGATCAAGGTTGTAACACGTGTGAGGCCGTGGGTGAACATTGAGAACAGTGTGCTGAGTGAGATAAGGCCGATACCCAAAGGCAAAGGTCAGACCGTGGGCTCTGTCACGTGACGTGTCCAGAGAGCACAGCACGTGGAGGCGGAAAGGCCAGTCCTGGCCACCAGGGGCTGGGGGAGGGAGCGGGAGGGCTGCTGTGGCTACAGGTTTGCTCTTTGGGGAGACGAAAAGATTTGGGGACAAATGTGATGGGTGACAGCATTGCGAGTGTGTTAATGCCTCTGGATGTTGTTGTTATTGTTACGTGCTGTTGAGTTGGACCCCACTCATAGCGACCCCTCCTTGGGTTTCCGAGGCAGTATCACTACAGAAGTAGATTGCCCAACCTTCCTTCTGAGGAGTGGCTGGTGGGTTTGAAGCGCCAGCCTTCTGGTTAGCAGTCAAGTGCCTTAGGCACTACGCTACCAGAGCTCCTAATGCCTCTGGATAGTGTCCCTGAAAATGGCACTTTTTTGTTGTATACATTTTGCCACAATAAAATAATCCTAATTGAAACCTATAGGCCCCATATCTCTTACATTGTAGTTTTTCTTTAATATTAGTGACATAAAACCCATACTATATGATTAATATAAAGACACTCTAGGGTATTGTTAAAGATGTTTTCTTTGGTCTTTCATTTATTTATAATGGTTTACGGTGCATGTTTTAGTTGAGAAATGGTAAAATATTCCGGGACTGAATACCTGGACTCCAAACCTGCAGGAAACCTCACGTAGGACCCAAGGATAGATGTCACAGCTTTTTGGGGAGCGTATTTCACAGGGCAGCCTCTGGCTTTCCCAGAATGAAGGCTGGGAATCCGTGAGAGAAGGTGCCAGCTTCTCTTTAATGTGGTCCATCCGGAAACCATGTACGCACAGCGACACTTCACAGTCCACAGACGAGCTGGCCTGCTGGGCCACAGACGAGCTGGCGTGCTAGGCTTTCTGGGGGCTTTTTCTGTGTTCGTTACTTTTTGTTGTTGACGGTCTACACAGCAGAACATGCACCAGTTCAGCCGTTGCCACGTGTGCAGTTTGTTTACACTGATGACGGTCTTCAAGTGGCGTGAGCGGTCCCAGCCCTTTGCTGAGTTGCTCTCCTCCTGCACTGACCTGAGCTCCCTGCCCCCCAGCCTCCCATCTGCCCGCCTGAGTTGCTCCAGGTCTTTAACAGAGCACGCTTCTCAAGGCAGACATTCTGCACTGACGCAGCTAAACTAGCATTTGGTTGGGGAGCTCCGGTGGCTCAGTGCCTAAGGCACTTGACTGCTAACCAGAAGGCGGGCGGTTCAAACCCACCAGCCACTCTGCAGAAGGATGATTGGGCAATCTACTTCCGTAGTGATACTGCCTCAGAAACCCGAGGAGGGGTCACTGTGAGTCAAGTCAAGAAGACTTCAGGGAATATTTTTGGTGTAACGTTAAAGATTACCCTGAGGTAGTAGTTTCAGGGGTTCAGCCTCCAGGAAGTCTGTGAGGATCTGAACTAACGCACCAGGCTCTGACCGTCACTGGCCCAGAGATAGCTAGAGGCTCATAGAGGACTGAGTGCCAGAGGTGATGTCATCCACCTGGAAAAATTGAACCTGTGGTTGGTCAAGTCCTGGGATCTGACTGCAGATTTACAGGGGATAGAGGAGTGCGCCGATTGGCGTCAGGGTGGTACAATGGGCAGAATCCAAGCTCTGGAAGAACACCGCACACGCGCACACACCACACACACAACAGTTGCTCCAGCAAATGAGGGGGCGAAAAGAGGTGGAGGAGAAAGATGCAAGAGGCATGACAAGTACATGAACCTATAGCAGTGTTCTCACCTCATCTGGATACTGATCTGCGAGGAAACGTGCAAAAAGGCGACCTGGGTGACTGTCCTCACTGGGGGAATGTGACCAGCGTCACTGAGAACTGCTGGGCTGTTTTGCTGTGTGATCAACAACAACGTCATGGAGTTTAGAAGATACAGATCAGCATTTGAAGATAGACCTTGAATGCTGAGAAGGAGTTTCATTTCTTTCATGTGATAATGGTTTATTTTTTCAGAATTTAAATTTTTTAGAGATACTTAAATATTTGCAAATGAAAAAAAAGTGACTTTGATATTGGTGGAAATGTAATAACTCTGTTAACAGTCTACCTGGATAGGAGTAATTTCTATTTTGGGGCCCCTTTGAGAGTCAGATAATAGCAGATAAGCGAGTATTTAGAGCAGGGTCCGCCACACATTTGTGAATGTCCTGTTTCAGGAAGAATATTTTGAGAACAGTTTTCTTTTCAAGTGCCGTATGAGGTTGATAACCCTCTGTAAGCCACAGACAGGCTTCACACCACTCGCTTTTACAAAAGCCCTCCATCAGTACCTGTTTTTGTTAACCGAAAGAAATCCAAAGACCATGTTCACTTTTATTAAAAAAAGGCAACACTCAAAACTAGCGGCCAGCGTTTTGTTGTGCAGCGAGGCGTGAGGGTGACAGTGTACCGAGGGCAGCGTCCCCAAGCTCCGTCCTTGCGAGCTGCGCTCAGATCTCAGCATCAGGACACCCCAGCTTTCCCCCGTGTCTGTGGACACTATCCGTTGGTGTCATTGCAGGGGTCGTGTGTTACTTGGTACAATGGGGTGTGTTACTTTTTGGGTCTGGGAACGCGCAAACATTTTTCCCATGTCAATTAGCACCAGTTGCTTCTTTGATTCACTTTAGCTTCTGAAAGGTTTCATAGGAAGACAGTGCTTTTGAATAGCGGGGGAAACCTCTACACACACATGCACGCACACACGCACACATGCTGCACATGGATGTGACCCGCCAGTAGCTTTGGAGTCGTTTCTGGCGCATGGGAACCCTGCATGTGTCAGAGAAGACCTGTGCCCCTGACGGTTTTCAGAAGATGGCCAGGCCTTTCTTCCTGTGGTGCACTTGCCCCTAGTGGTCTTGAACCTCCAGCCTTTGAGCAGGGCATGCGTTAAATCATTTGCGCCCCATGGGGAGTCCATATATCTGTCACTGATTCTTACATTGGAGCCACGTGTGCTGCTTAAACGCTTCTGTCAAGGCTACTTGGAGTTCCTTAGTTGCCCCAGGAGGCGGCCCTCATGGGCGGTCCCAGGGCGTTCTTACACCCGCGGTGCGGCACAGCCTTGAGGTGGCCTGGCTCCACTGCTCGTCGTCTTTATTTAGAGAAACGAGTACACGTCATGTGCAGGTCAGTCTCAGGTCTCTCTTATTTAAACCTCACGCTGTGCCTTGATATTTTATCAGGTTTAATGACATCCATGTCCCAATTCGCCTGGAATGTGTGAAATTTGCCAGCCATTGTCTGATGAACCATCCGGATTTGGCCAAGGACTTAACAGGTACGTGAGCGTAAAATATCAAACGTACCAAGATGCTACTTGTTGTTGTTGTTGTTATGTGCCGTCGAGTCAGCCCTGACTCATAGCGACCCCTCCTTGGGTTTCCGAGGCAGTATCACTACGGAAGTAGGATTGCCCAACCTTCCTTCCGAGGAGTGGCTGGTGGGTTTGAACCGCCAGCCTTCTGGTTAGCAGTCAAGTGCCTTAGCCACTATGCTACCAGAGCTCCTACTTAGTGGGGGGAAAAAAAAGGATTTTTATAGGGATATTTTTTCCCTGTTGTTGTGGTGTGTTCTTGCTGTAGTTTCTCATTACTGAAATTCTTCTCTGAAGCTAGACCTTGTCCAGATACTCCTTAGGCTAGAAACACCTGTGGGAAGGTGGGGCCACGTTCATTTCTTAGTTGACAGGCAGTTCATCAGGTGCTTGGATCTGAACAGGTCTTGTCTTTGAGTAGATTGTGAGACTTCGACATTCTTTAGTATTTTAGGAATTTACATGAGAGTCAGTGATTTATAAACAAGCTCAACTGTGTTCCGTGGAGGTGACCTTTCTAAACCTGCAGGAGGCGAAGGCAGGTCAGAGCTGTGTGTGTGCAGAAATAAGAGCATCATGTAGCTGACTTGCTGTTTGGGTGAAGTTTTAAAAATTAGCAACTCCTTCCAGTGGTACAGACGGATCCAGCAGCCACTTAGGTCCTCCCACAGGTGTCAGCGTTTTCTCGCACTGGCTCCAGTGATGAGAGGAAGAAATACGGGCCGGCTGAGCTGCCCATTGCACACTGTTCCTTCCTCCTCTGTGAGGGCAGGCGCCTCGCCGACTAAGGATGTTTGGGCTGCATCCCATTGGGGCCGTCACAGGCGGCACGTGTGTCTGTCCACATGTTTGCTGAGATATCCCGCGGATTTTGCCGACTCAGCCGTCCGCGTTTCTGTCCGCATTTTCTGTGTACATGCGGCTGCTGAGTTTCGGCCCTGTTGTCCTCTGCTCTGTCGGGTTGATTCCTGCTCTTTCCTTCATTTTTCCTTTCTTCTGAGGACTTGGAAGTGAACTTCCCCTTTTCTGTGCTTTGACTGCATATTTGATTCGTGAAATTTAATCAGAATTCTCCAGCTTCTTTTCAAACAACCAAAACTTCCTGCTGGCAGGTTGGTTCTGACTCGCAGTGACCTCCTGTGAGAGTGAAGGTGCCCCGGAGGGCTCCCGAGACTGTCACCTTGACAGGAGCAGACGGACCCGCCTTTGCTCCTGGGGAACGGCTGGTGGGTTTAAACCGCCCACTGCTTTAACCACTGCATGACCAGAGAGCCTTCTGAGCAACCAACCAAAAAAAAAAAGAAAAACCAAACTTACTCCCATTGAGTCGATCCTGACTCATAGTTGTAAGGTCACAGTAAGGAGAAAAGGATGCACAAAAGTGAGGTTAAAGAGAAGTTTTTATTCTGAGTTTCCGGGTGAGGTTTACGGGTCCCCAAGAGGGGCCTAGGCGAGGTTCACGGTTCCCTGAGAGGGGCCCGGGAAGTCGCACTGCCTGGCTGGGGAGGGTAGGGTTTATAGTCTTGTGGAGGACCTAAGTGGGGACACTAAGGAAATGGTAGGGTCCAATTAGCTGTTAGCATTGGTCTGCACTTAATTAGCATGAAGGGGCTTCACAAGAGGAAGTTTGCCACTGCGTGGGACTTTCTAGTCTGGGAGGGTTCTGTCACTTTGGTTGTCTTATCAGGCTGTCTCATCAGGGCTTGACACCCGGAGGAAGCTGCTAACTGAAATGTCGGTGGCTTGGGTTTGCTTCAGCCTAACAATAGTGACTCCTGTGACGTTTCTGAAACTGTCAGTCTTTCCGGAAGCAGGCTGTCTCATCTTTCTCCTGTGGAGCAGCTGGTGGGTTCAAGCCCCGACCTTTTGATAAGCAGTCTAATGCCTGTAGAGGAGTCAGCCACAGGGACCCAGGTAAGGGTGGTTGGGGGGTCCAACAGCAAAGGGAGACAGACTTATCTGTCGATTTGTCCTACTGTGGTGACATGTTGCTGTGAGTCTTGGGCTGTGCGACTGGTGTTTCAAACCCAGCGGGGGGCACTTGGTGCACAGGTATCAGCCCGGCTTGCAGACTGAGACAGACTAGGAAGAAGGAGGAGGCTATCCACTTCTCAAAGAATTGGCCAGGGAAAACCTTATGAATAGCAAAGAAACACTGTCTGATACATTACTGTGCAACTTTATGAATAGTCCAGAAACGCTGTCCAATACAGAGGAGGAAGATAGTGACTTACCTTAGAAAGCTCTCAAACCAGGACTGGGAAAGAGCTGCACTATCAGAGTAAAATCAGCTGTTCTCATATGGATAAGGTAAAGCTTTCAAGACCTCCATTTGCTGACGTGGCACCACACAAATTGAGGAGAAACAGCCGCAGGCATCCATTAGTCATCGGAACATGGAATGTATGAAGTATGAATCTAGGAAAATTGGAAGTTGTCAAAAATGAAATAGAACACATAAAGACTGATATCCTCAGCATTA